TCCTTAGACGAGGTGCCACAGAAGAGAGATGGGGACATGGAAAGTGGGGTCCGGGTGGTCTGAGGGCAGTTCATTGACAATATCCTGAGCAATGGCTCAGGGCTGGGTGGACAGACATGGGGGACATCTGATGTGACCCCGTCCTGTTCTGGCACTTGGTTGGCTGTGCTGGGCTGAGTGTGAATGTCTTGTGGGAACCTGCAGATGGAGGCATTCCTCTTCATCTCTTTGCTGTTTGCAGAGGACACTGCATATCTCCCCTTATTTTGTAATCAGATTTTGAAGGCTTAAAGATCTTTTCTATTCATTTAAGGGGAGAGGGAAAAAAATCTTAGACTATCTCCAGAGGGTTAAAAATGTACAAAATCATGTGGCTATCATCTTCCTTTTCAAGACTTCAGCCTGCTTCTCTGCATCTTTGGCACACAGATGAATGAAAGATAATTCATGGGCTTGTATCCCTCCCATGGAGATTCACCAAGTATCCTATTGCCCAGGGCAGAGACAGCATGCAAGTTGAGGTAATTGTAGCTGCTCTAACAGGTAACCCCCAATTTCAGCCACTTAACAAAGAAGTTTGTAAAGTACAAAGTGAGTGTTCCTGATTAATGAGCAGCTCTGCTCCAGGTGATGACTCAGGGATCCCGCCATCCTGAGGTTCCAACATTTTCTGCCTGCAGAAAAGAGACTGCTGTGGAAGGGACAAGAAGGACTCTGTGGGTGAGGCCTGGAGAGGGTACTGGCATATCTGACCACACTCTATGTTTAGAACTTGGTCCTAACTGCAAGAGAGGCTATGAAAGGTAGCCTAGCTATGTGCCCAGATAGGAGGAAGAGTTTGGGTGAACAGCTGGAAAGTGTTTGCCTCGGGCAGCAACCATTTCCAGGGTGCCTACCCCATAAGAGGCATTTAATAAATCCTAGTGACCAACAACTGGTCTCATAGGAGGAGAAGCTAAGCAGGGCCATTGGCTCAGGTCCTTGCATGTACGGGGCCAGGAGAGAAGAGAAAAGAGGTGATAATGACTGAATTGCACCTAGAACCCAAATCTCTTGTACTTCATGACTTTCCTCTGAATTGCCATCATTTTAAATAAAAAAGAATCCAATTGGTTTATGTGTGTGTGCGTGTGTGTGTGCATGTGTTTTAGTTTAGCTCTTTTGTTTTTGCACAGTACAAAAGGCTCATTAGATATTGTCGAAGTCTGACTTTCCGGGGACTTAAATTCAGAAATCTCTTCCCAGGCTAGCATGCAGATGGAGTCTAAGGTGACGGGAACCCACTGGTGGAATCCAAACTCTGATCCAACATGTACAGCTGGCTACCTGCTGAGACAAAAATGAAAGACAGATTATGAGGATCAATGAGATTATGTTTATAAGCTTTCTTGTGCTTAGCCAAGAAAGGTATTATTTACAGAATTAATAAATGTGACACTGTTTTTTGGTAGGATGTTGC